TACTTATTTCGGGTCCCGACAACATTCCATTCTCTGTGTTGTTGACAGTTATTACACTTTTTGAGAAAAAATGCAACAGATGCTTTCGACAATCAATGATTTTTTTTTGGATCATTCGATCATCATCATTTTACTATTATCATTTTGAGGTCAAAGTTCATTGAAGTTTTTTTTGTTGCTTAGTTTAAAGGCTAATCATTATTGGTAAGATTATGCTGCTTTTGATGAAAAATATTTTCATTGAAAAAATATATTTTTCTGTCCATTCCTGTTCCATTATCACTTTTCTTCAGTTCTTGGATGCTCGCGTGCCAATTTTTTTTTCTGCTTTCTGCTTACGTATTTGACAAAGATTGATCGATGCAAAGAAAAAAGGTGAAAAAAAAGGTAAAACACGCGATGACCTTGATGTTTCGAAGATTTTTGTTTTCGTTTTTTTACTTTGAAGACGAAAAAAAAGGAGGTCGTCGTCGCGTGTAACCAGAAAAAACTTAAACCAAACCAAGGAAGTAAATTTTTTTAAAAATTCCAGGTAAAAATGAACAAAACAATAATCATTTTGAAACTAATAAGTTCGTATCACAAACAATCCTTACCTTACCTGAAAAAAAGGTTACTAATTTGTCAAAAAAAAGGAAAAAAATGAAATTCATAAACTATCATCTGTCAATTTCTTACTTCAAAAAAACGCTCAAATATACATCACCTTGGCACCAAAAAAATATGAATCATATCTTGATCTTATGATCTAAGAATATCTCAATTTCATCATCAACAACCGAGAGAGAGAAAGAGTGAAAAAAATTGACAATTTCTTTTCCTCGAATAAAGATATCATATATAAAAAAGGAACAAAAAAATGGACAATATCGATTCAGGAAATATGATTCATATGCTTGCCTACCTTTAAAATAATAAAGCAAAACAACAATAAAAGGGTTATGAAGCAAATAACAACAATATAACCATAAAGAACGAAAAGAAATATGAAAAATTTCAATGTTTGACGGCTTTTTTTTTGTTCGAAGAAATAAACCGAACTGAACCGAACACCAAAGAAGTAGAAATAGATAAATCTTGAAAATGTCATTTGTCAAATCAAAGCAATAATAATAATAATAAAAAGTCAAGTTTTTGGCAACAAATGCAGGCTGGCTGCTGTTTGACACATGTTAAAGTAATAAAAAACAAAAATGAATGAAGATTTTTTTTTGAAAAAGAAAATTTTTTGTAAATATATCAGGATCTTGATGTTTTCGACCAAAAAGAGAGAGAGAGGGAGAAGAGTTGATGATATTATCATTGACCATATGTGTGACGTCAATCTTTAACAAATTCATATGATGATGATGATAATAAAATTAAATTAACTTGTCACGTAAAAATTAAAAAAAAACATAAAAATTTGTCAAAACAACAGGATCGATATGTTTGTTTGATGTTTGACATTGGATTCCGGTTGATTGAACATTTGTTGTTGTCGGATATTTTCACTTTTTGTTGTTGTTGTTAAATATTTTCAATGTCATCAATGTGATCATATTTGATTGGTGAATGACAGGCACGTGTAAAGAATGTTTCGTGTTTTCTGATCAATGATCACGATTTTTTTTACTTGTACAACGATTGCTGTTGTCGATGATGATGATGATGATGATAATGGTAATGGTTTCCAACAACAATCAATATTCAACGTAAATTATCTTCAAAGTCCATTATTGAACGGGTCATGAAAGGCTTGATTTTTTTTTCTATTCCAGGTTAAAATCATTATGATGATGATGATACTTGGTTAAAGATGAAAAAACACACGTGAAAATCATTTCACACAAACACGAAACTCGTGCAAGAACAATAAACGAGGAAAATAAATGATTATTATTGCTATAATGATTGGTTGGTTGGTTGGTTGACCAGTTGTTTTGGCTGGTAATGGACACCCCAATCAAAAAAAAACCAAAGAAAATTTATGTAGATAATAGGTTTTTGACGTTTTCACCTTGTTTTTGTTTCAAGAAAAAGAAAATAAATCAATCAATCAAATTATATGTGTTTAAAATCAAAAATTCGTGACCTGAATTTGATGATAAATTTTTTCTTAAATGAATTTTCCAAGTATGAAAAAAAGGGTTCGTGAGTTCGGTTTCCAAAATCGTTGTCGCCATCAATCGATTGATACGATCCGCCCATTACCATTACCATTATCACCACCATCATCATCATCATTATCATGATCATCATAACCAGGTGATCTTTTGTTTTTTTGTTTTTTTTTTCCTTTTGGTTTCATCGGAAATTCGAAAAATCAAAATTAGGAATGAATGACAACGCTCGAAACAAGTCGTCGAACATAAACTTATTTATTTATTTATTGAACAAAAAACGCAAGCTGCCCGAAGGCACTTGTGCGATATTAGAAAAAAAAATTAACAAAAATTATAAAAAGAAAAAAAAATTAGTGTGAAGAGTGTACATTTGATATGATAATAATTTTTACAAAATAAATTGAAAATGTTAAAGTTAAATAAATGGATTGAATCCTGCTCATGTCGAACCATAAACTTAATGGGGTCCATACATCTTAATTTCATTTAAGTAATTGGAGGATCTTATGTATTTTATAAGTGTTACATTTAAATTTATGTTTATATTTTACACATAAATTTACATAAAGAACTTATAATCATCTCATTAATATGATCCATTTTATTCAACTCTGATGTATTTATATTGATGATTTATTAGACAGACCGGTGAATTCTGCCATAGAATTATATATAATATTATAGAATCTTTATGAAAAAAAATCATTAAAAAATATTTCAGGAACACGCATGAAAACTTTATATTTTTGCATTCCAGTAGAGAAATGTTTTCGATTGTTGAAAGTTATCACATTACATTCCCGTTATATAATGGAAAATGTTTTCGATTTTTTTTAAAAATAATTAATCGATGATGCAATTGAGAAGAAATGAATAAAACATTTAATATCATTTCATGGCAACCTGCTAATAAAAATTAGAAAAACAAATCATAAATCGCCATATCAATCAAAACAAACAAACTCACCGTTATAAATCATGAAATAAATCTGGCGACATAATATTTCCGATGTTCACTCCTTTCAATTTCGTTAATATACATGGTCTTACTATGCCATAATCATTTTCCCACGATTTTTTGTTGGGTTTCTCATAATCGTATGTTAGAAATGAATAGTCGAATAAAGAATGTCCCAAATTATTCAACTTATATCGTTCTCTTTTCTCTAGGCACAGCCTACATAAGCTATCAAAGGTCATTTTGAAGCCGAGAATTTCGTTCTCTGTGCAAAAATTATCGCAGTAAGAAATAATGTTATATAAACACATTGAACTGCTAATTGCAACTAAATAATATTTTATTTTAACTGATAAAACATTTTATAATAATACGAATGTTCGATTTATAGAACTTTAAAAGTTCTAACAATCGCAAATGACTTTGAAGATGCCAACTTCGAAATGCATCATTTCTTTTACAAATGGTTCAAGAACCAAATATTCATGAAATTATCATTTTTTTTTCTTCGTTGGGTCTTCTAGCCACATGACAAACATTTGTATGTTTGTCTCTCTTGGTTCGCTTTTCGATTTCAATTTTCGGATATTGCTTCAAGCCTACCATTTCGTTTCAAAATATTTGCCCATTTATAATACCCGATTCTTACACTTGATTTAATCTAGTGTTTGAATCGTTTGACAATCGATTTAGAAGAAAAAAAAATCCGATTCTATTTCGAAATCATCAATCAAACACAAGCAAGCAAACACACACACACACATGTATAACCCTTTTGTTTGAGGGTAATATCATCGGGTTATCAAATTGTGCATAGGTGTTTTGTGACTTTCATTGGTCAGTCACATATCGAATATTGATGGTGGTGGACAATTCGGTTGAATGATTTTATGAACAATAAAAAAAAAATCAGAAACCAAATAGAAATTATCACAGATTTTGCTGGAAAAATATTACATCGATATTATTCGATAACAATCGATTTGTTTCACTTCAATGATCATCATCATTGTATAAAGAAAAGAAAAAATCGGTGGTCAAATTTCTCACCCTTTCTCTTTTTTTTTGTTGATTGAAAATAAAATATTCGATACCGACACCATTTTTTTAGGAAAAATATAATGGCAAATGATCCTGAAAGTTACTGATTAGTTTGGTCGAATGAAAACAAACAATAATCGAATCGTTCATTCATTCGAATATCGATATATCGCGATACCATCAACAATCGTAGAAAAAAAAATTCGTTCGAATTTCTTTTCTTTTTGTCATAGTCATGGTCATGGTCATATTTTTATTTTTTTTTTGTTTTGTTTTGTTTGTTCCAAAAACCATATCATTATTATCGTTTATTGTTACCATTATTATTATCATCATCAACACTACCATCATGATTATCATTATGATTGATCAACTGACCATTAATGATTATATTGATGATGATGATGATGATTGAATCATTGAACTGTATTGTATGTGTGGGTAGAATGATGGCCAAAGGACCAAAGACCTGAAAATCTTATTCCTTGTTTTTTTCAATGCATAAAAAATGAGAAAAGTTTTTGCAACTGAGAACAAAGGGTGTTTGTTTGTTATGGTTTTTTTTTTTGGTTTTTCGGTTTTCGTCGTCATCATTATGAATGAAAATATTCGTGGGCCAATGGACAAAACAAAACAAAACAAAAAATGGTTTATAAACAAACAAGGTAGGTTGATATTTTTTTGGTTTTTTTTCCAAAACTGTACTTTTACCGTTTTTCTTTCTATTCATTTTCGCAAAAAAATATGTTCGATACTATTTCGACCTGGGTTTGATTGGGTAAAAAGAGAGAAAAAATAGCCATTTTTTTCAAGTAAATTTTTTTTTATTATAAAAATTATCAATCTTGTGAAAAATACATTGTTAATTTCGATGATGAAGTTGAAATTTAAATAATTTATCCAGATAATTTCATTGATAACATTGTAAAACGTGCATATATTATCATAAGCTATATGATGATGTAAAGAAAAAAAAATTACAAAATGTATTTTAGATGTTATCATTATACAGCAAAATAAGCGAACTTACCTTACAAAATATTCCACGTGTTAATACAGCAATTGCACCAATTTTAATACCCCATGGTTTTAAATTAACCATACGTTGATAATAATTCATAATTTGTAATTTAAAACGTAAACATGATGTATTATTAATTAAAACTATTGTATGTTGTAATTCATAACGAATAGAATTCAGATGAGAATTCAATAATGAAATATAATATGATAATAAAACAACAAAACAAATATAACAAACAAATGCATAATATAATACAATTAATAAAACAAATTGAAAATTTTCAATTTCTTTTAATGCATTCATAAATATTTGTGTACCAATAATACCAACAATTATTATACATAATATTAATCGTGATACATAACGTTGAATATCTTCACTAAATATTATCAAACGTGTATATAAACGAAATGATCGATTTAATTTTGTTTCGATTAATCGAATAAAAATTTTTCTTTCAATTAAATTTAATTCACATTTTTCGGAAATTATTAATGAATATATACGTAATATATGTTGTATATCAATACGTACTTTTTGTATAGTTTTCACACCTATTAATAATGTATATGAACCAATTATAAATGGATAATATGAAAATAATACTGTAAAATTTAATGATATTGCAACTAATTGTCCATTTAATAAATGTATTATTAATTGCCAAATAGGACGATTAATATTGATTATTTTTTTAAATATAAATATATAGAAACCAAGATTTATTGATGCTAAATTATCATTGATTTGACAGAAAAAAAAGTGTTAATTAAATGCTAAATGATAGTTTTTTGTTTGTTGTAAAACTTACCGATAAATATTTGTATAAAATAATAAAAACGATCAACATATAAACGTAATTTTTTAATATTTGTTGGAAATTTATTTAAAATATAATTAAATAATAATGTTGATGTACGTGAATAATTACCATATTTTATCTGAATTATTTGATGAATTTTTGATAAATTATAATTATTATTATTATCATATTCACGTAAATACATTATTAATGTACGAAATGATAATGAATTTTC